TTACAGATACTAAGCAAGGGAGATAAACTTCTAGCCCACCCCCTATGTTTTAAGACAGGGACTCACTAGGTGTTAGGTTGACTTGAATTCACTATGTAACCTAAGCTTACCTTGAACTCTCTGCTTCAACCCACTGAATGGTATAGGGTATCTTCACCTTATCACCACACTTGTTCTTTTTTTTAATTTTAACTATCTTTTTATTGTCTGTATTGAAAAAAAAGAAAGTTTTTATTGAGAGCTAGAAGCTACATGGGGAAACTGCCCAAATCATGAAGCCCTGGGGATCCTCACAGTTCTTTGTCTTTTATGCACAAAACTAGCATTCTTGTTGACACACTTCAGTTAACAAGGACAGTTAGCAAGTAGCAAAACTACAGAAACCAAAAAGCAAGTTTAGCACATTTTATAGACAGAGCTTTGATGGATTAGGTCTTTATTTCTGTTTTGGCAGGTGTTGGGGCCTATGTGCTGGGTTTTGAAGTATGGTACCTCACAATGGTACCTCTGACATGGCCTCAGTTATGCTAAGGTCTGGGAGCCTGTTACATCCCTCCCTTGTTCTGTGGGCATGAGTCAAATGAACTCATCATGGTCATGGGGTTATACCATCCCCTTAGCACTAATAACTTAATAAAGTCTTCTTTCTGTTTTACATATTTAAGTAGACACTTGAACAAGCAGGATCATATGGTGAGGGCTAGAAGTAAAAAAATTAATGGCCCATCCATGGCTGTAAGTAGAGTAGTTAACCAGGGGGGGCCAGGATAACAAGAACCAATGTCAATTGTTAGACTCTTCTTATCTCCTTTCTCTTTCCCTGGGGTTTTTTTCTGACTGTGGATAAACTTCCTGCAATTACTCCTAACTGGTTGACATAGAAACAAAAAGTTTGTCCCAGTGCTATATGGAGACCTTCTTCCTTCATAAAGAGAAGGTCCAGACTTTTTTACTCTGAAGAGCAATCTCAGCTAAGGAGTCTAACTTGCCTTCCAGGTGAGAAACAGAATTTTCCAGATAGCCCAGGTCTATGTCTACATCAGCATTGAGTTCTTTAAAGTTTTTATTCACAATACTTGTTGGAGATGGCGGAAGGCCCAAGCATTGTCTGTGAAAATACCATGTAAAGAACAGCGTGAAGGGAGTGGGAAAAACCCCTTCCATTCCATCTCCAGAAGTAATAATGATGATGATACTAACTCTACAGTGATGACTCTAAGACATTTTAATATGTAAACTATTTGAGTGAATAAATTACAGGATGAGAAAGCTGGTTCTGCAGGTAAGAACTCAACTGTGTGTGGCGGTTTGAATGAGGGCGGCCCCATGGGCTCATCTATATTTGAACACTTGCTCCCCAGTTGGTGGAACTCTTTGGGAAGGATTGAGAGTTATGGCCTTCTTGAAGGACGTGTCCTGGGAGTGAAATCTGAGATTGCAAAAGTTCAACCCAGGCACAGCCTTTCTTTCTCTCTTCCTCCAACTTTCAGATAAGATTTAAGTTCTCACCTACTATCCAGCCCCATTTCTGCCTTCCACCATAAAATATGTTGTTAAAAATAAGTGAATTATATAGTATTCATAATGCCATGGGCATCATCAACGCTTTCTTTTTAAAAACTAGCTCCCTTAAAATATCTGAAATAAAATTCATTGTTCGGATTTTCTGTCCTTACCGAGAACATGAAAAGTAGCACTGTTAGTCATTGAAGAAATGCAAATCAGAACTGCAAATAGGTGTTTCTTCACACTAGATGTCTATAACTGAAAATGCAGAAAATAGGGGTTGGCAAAGATATACAAAATTTCTAACCTTCATTCATTATTGATGGGGATGTAAAGCAGACCAGCTTCTACAAAAGCTGTTTGGCAGTTCCTCTAAAGTTAAAATAGAATTAGCATAAGGTGTCAAAACAAAAGCTTCACCAGTGACTTACTCAGAAGAATGAAAATGGGTGTGCAAATGTGCATATACACTCATCTGAGAACAATGCCATTCACAATGGCCAAAAGCTAGGAGCAGCCCAAATGTCCGTTGATGCTTGAATGAAGCTAATTGTAGTGTATACATTCAAAGGAATGTTACATAGCCATACAAAGGAATGAAGTACTGATTTATGCCTTGGTGCAAATAGATCTCCTAAGAGAAACCATTCAGACTTGAAAATTCAGGCATACTGCATAATTTCAGAATACATTTTATGTAATATGCAGGATGGAAAAAACCCACAGAGGTAAACAGACTGGTGGTTGTTAGGCAGCAAGAGGAGGAAGGATGGGGAGAAACTTTTTAATGGGCAAGGGGATTTACTTTGGAAGAACAAAATGCTTTGGGACTAGGTGGTGTCTTTTTGTTACTTATGGATGTATTAAACGCTGCTAAACTCTTCTTTTCTTTAAATGGTTAATTCTATGTTCTGTATTACATGAAATACACCAAAACAGGTTATGCCTTCAAAGCTATTACTTCCACATATGGACAATAAACAGGAAAATGTAGGGGGGTATGAATTACAAGGTTTAGGCATCACAGGAGTCTGTGTAAATGACGCACAAACCTATTCTTAGGTAGGGAAATGCCTAGGAGGCTAAAACTAAAATGAAGCAGCTTATGCTCTCTATGATCAGGCTAAGATTTTAAAATAAAAACCACAGGATATAAGGTAACTACGTAGCATGGACCAGCAGTGAATGTGAGCCAACTGGATAGGGAAATCGAAGGTTTAACTAGAGCAGCACACACCTGTAATCCTAGCTCTTGGGAGGCTGAGGCAGGACAATCACTCTGACTTTGAAGTCATCCTGGGCCTGTCTGAAATGAAAGTAAGAATAGCCATCAGTTAACTGATAAACAGTTTGCACTTTTCATTATTATTTATTTATTTTTGGTAGTAAGCCTATCCTTTAACGGCTGAGCCAGCTCTCCAACCCTATTTATTTATTTTTTTAATTCTTGAGAATTTCAAACATGCATTCAATGGAATATGATCAATTAGCTTCTAATTTCACCCCCAAGCATCCCATTTTCCTGTTCCCATCACACAAATAAAGACAAGCAAGGTTAAGAGCACTTGCCACACGGTCCTGAGGACCTGACTTTGGGTCCCCAGCACCTCTGTAATCAGCCAGATGAAGGGTGAGGGAAGGCTTTGGGAGAGGAAATGTGGGGGCTTGAAGGTTGCTGGAGCTTCCTTAGACTAGCCAGGGAAAAGAACAGAAGGCAATAGGAGGGAGCAACTGAAATCTTCTTCTGCCCTCTGTATGTGTCCCCCAACACACATGTAAACACACAGACATACACACACTGTGGTGGGTTAAATAAGATAGAGCCCCATAGGCTTATTTGAATGCCTAGTCATCAATGAGCAGCACTATTTGAAAAAGATTATGAGGCCTTGTTGGAGGAAGTGTGTCCCTGCCTGAAGGTCTGAAGGTAGGCTTTCAGGTTTCCAAACCCCATTCCAAGACCAGACTCCCAGTCTCTCCCTCCCTCTCTCTCTCTCTCTCTCTCTCTCTCTCTCTCTCTCTCTCTCTCTCTCTCTCTCTCTCTCTCTCTCTCTCTCTCTCTCTCTCTCTCTCTCTGCCTATGGGTCAGGATGTAACTCTCAGTTACTGCTCCAGCACCTGCCTGCAATCCATCATGTTCCCTGCCATGGTGATAATGGACTAAGTCTCTGAAACTGTAAGCAAACCCCCGTCCCCATTAAATACTCTTTCATAAGAGTTGTCTTGGAGCTGGGTGTTGGTGGTGCACGCCTTTAATTCCAGCACTCAGGAGGCAGAGGCAGGCGGATCTCTATGAGTTCGAGACCAGCCTGGTCTACAGAGCGAGTTCCAGGACATCCTCCAAAGCCACAGAGAAACCCTGTCTCGAAAAACCAAAAGAAAAAAAGAGTTGTCTTGGATATAGTGTCTCTTCAAAGCAAGAGACAGTGACTAACACACACACACACACACACACACACACACACACACATTGTTCTGTCCTTGGAACAATCATCGAAAGAGATGCTATCCCATGATGAATCACTGATGAACACCAATCAGATCAGTAAATTTAGAAATTTTAGTTCTTTTTTACATTTAGTGTACATATGTGTGTATGTGCACACACATGCCATTGCATATGTGTGGAGGTCACAGAAAAACTTGAGAAAATAAATTCTCTCCTCCTACCATGTGAATTCCTGAGAGTAAACATGATTTCTGGCAATGACCTTTACCCCCCTGAGTCATTGTGCCTGCCAGAAATTTCAATAGAAATTTTTCAATAGAAAGTATACTTACTAAAATCTTGGCTTCTTTCTGCTAAAGGATAATTTTTGAAGTTAAATTGTGACTACCATATTTACAAATGTAAATGAAGTCATGTCAAAAGTTGTATTTAACCCATTTAATTGACAGAAGAACTGGAACCCACATACAGTAGACTTTCCTACATTATCCTGCTGTGTGAGTCATGTTCCCATAGAAGTTTGCTTACTCTGCGGAGGGGTTGAGGAGGGATTCCTCTGCCTGCCCAGTAAATGCCAGGGGCAAAATGCTTGCTTTCCTCAGTTTAGCATAGTCAAAGACACAATGAAACAGCCATAGACTTTCTGCCTGTGAGCACACCTGGCGAAAGTGATGAGAGCCTACATTGCTTCTCTCTCCCAGCTTTGAACCCTCAGCTATCCTGGAATAAAAGCCTCAGGGAAACCCAGTCAAGAGCTCTTGAGCAGCATGACCTAGAGTCCCCTGGTTCTGCTGAGTATCAAATTCTACTTCAGTTCCTCAGCACTGGTCACTGGAAGATCATGATAAAGGCTTGTGGTGATAAAAATTGGTTAAGGGGCGCCAGGCGGGGGTGGCACACACCTTTAATCCCAGCACTCGGGAGGCAGAGGCATGTGGATCTCTGTGAGTTCGAGGCCGGGCTGGACCAACAGCCTCCAAAACAATACAGAGAAACCCTGTCTCGTAAAACCAAAAAAAAAAAATGGTTAAGGGGCAACTAGAAATGCTGAAATAGATTTAATAGGCACAAAACAAGTTTCTTGTGTGTACAGGTGGAGCTCGGTTATACGCAAGGCAACATTCATCTGTTACTTCTGTTGATAAGGAAACGGTGTCACCATCCATCACTTTAAGGTGAGGATGGAAGGGGGAACACAAGACATGTGTAGTCAGATGGTCCATGAGGTTTTGCTTGTAAATGCCCAGTATTCAAGGCACTCAGGAATGTCTTACAGTTTTTCCAGTAAACACACACCATGGCAAAAAGCTTTTATTCCCTGGCTTCAGGGTCTTATCTATTTGTTTCTAGAGATTTACAGAAGTGTAGTGGCTCAAGCCTATAAGCTCACCACTCAGGCGACTGTGACAAGAGAAGCAGTGTCATTTGGAGACCTAGACTAGTGTTGCCAAAAGAGCCAAAGCTTGAAGGAAGCGTTGGGCAGGGTGGCCTGAAGGTCTCCTTGAGCTGGCACAGCCGGCTGAGAGCCTGCTCCCAGATGCTGAGTCACACATTCCTGCAGGTAGCAGATCCCTGGGTGCTGTCAGCACTTGTGATCACGTTGCATAAGCCCCTGCCCTTGTGCTAGGACGGGCCATCCTTTGGTGAGTGAGCTGCAGGGTTCTTGACCATCCCAGGAAGGTTTGGCTTTTCTTGTTACCATTGAAAATGGCATACAACACTGAATCCTCCTAGCTTCTGTCATGACCAAAAAAAAGAAGCATTTCATTCATTTATTCTTTTTAAAATTGTAATTAGTATGTAACAATTGTCTTAGCTGACAGGCTTCACTGTGACACTTCCATCCACACGAGATCCTGTCCACCCTTCCCACTCCCTTCCTTGCTCTTGGCTCACCACTCCCTGCCCCCACTTCTCTCCCTTCCCTAGTGTTTATTCTCCTACTTGAATATTTGTGTTTTATTTTACTCTTTGAGGCAGGGCCTCTCTGAGTAGTTCTCGCTGTCCTGGAACATACTTTGTTGAGAACCAATGTTTCTCAACCTGTGTGTCTAGACCCCTTTGAGGGTCAAACAACCCTTTCATAGGGGCTGCATATCAGGTATCCTACAGATCAGATGTTTACATTATTATTCATAACAGTAGCAAAATTACAGTTATGAAATAGCAATGAAAGAATTTTATGATTGGGGTCACCACAAAGTGAAGAACTGTATTAAAGGGTAGCAGCATTAGGAAGGTTGAGAACCACTGATGTAGACCAGGTTGGCCTCCAACTCACAGAGATCTGCTTGCCTCTGCCTCCTGAGAGGTGGGATTAAAGGTATATGACACCAGTCACAACACTACTTGAAGTTTTGTGAGGATCTTTTGGGGGGGTGTTTTTTTTTAATATTCTCTCATATACCAAAATAAGTATTTGTGTGTCAGGCTAAGCTGGAGGAAGAGAGTGCATAGGGAAAGTCAAAACATTGATCAGCAGGCACAAAAGTATAAATACAAAGAGTGTAAGTTTTGCTGTTCTAGCAGACACTGAAGTGAATACAGTTAATAATGATGCAGCATATATTTATAGTAGTGTATGCCTGCAATGCCAGCACTTGAGAGACAAGAAGTTCAAAACCGTCCTCAGATACACAGTGAGTTCATGGCCAGCTGGACTTCATAAGACCCTGCCTCAAATAAAAACAAATCAGTCAGGCACAGCAGTACATCCCCTTAATCCCAGCACTTGGGAGGCAGAGGCTGGTGAGTCTCTGTGAGTTTAAAACCAGCCTTGTCTCCATAGTGAGTTCCAGCACAGCCAAGGCTGCATAGAGAGACCCTGTCGAAAAACAACAACAAAATAACAAAACCAAAAAACCACCAAAACAGCTAGAAGGGAGGTTCTTACCTAGTGTCATCACAAAGAAACCATAAGTGTTTCTGCTGCTGGATATGCTAGATTCCCCAGCTTGGCTATTCTATGATGCGTAGCGGATTCAAATACCACATTGTGCCCTGTTCTTTGTTTTTGTTTGTGTTAATTATTTACATTTATTTATTCATTCACGGGGGAGGGTCGGCACACCTGTGCCACAGAGTGCATGTGAAGATCAAAGGATAACTCGTGGGCGTGGCCTCTCGCCTCTACCTTGTGAGCTCTAGAGATCACACTCAGATCTTCAGTCTCGGCATCAAGCACCTTTACACGCTGAGCCACCTTGCCAGCCTCGTGGTCTGTCTGGTTTTTTGAGATAGCATTCTCGTGTAGCCAAGGCTGGCCCCAGCTGACAGGTGAATAAAATATAATCTGATGGTTCATTTTCAAATTCAAAGGATTTTGAATCATCCTAGGCCCTGCTAAGGATAACAAGAAAATACTAGGAGCCTTCTAAGCTGGCTCCCCCAACCTGAACTCCCCCTCCACCTACTCAAACTAGAACTTTTAGAAACTTACCAACAGCTGAGCTTGCCTGAAGCCTGCAGATGTGGCAAGGTCATGAACCTGGGAAGCTTTAAAATAAGCAGGACATAAAACAGAGATAAACATGCAACCCACATGCAGAAAGGAAAGAAAGAACTACATGACCTGTAATATGGCACCCTCCTGATTACTCAGCCAAAGAAGTAAAGGGTCTGCATCAGGGCTCTGAAAATTGTCCTCAGTGCTCAGCTAGGGTGCCTGCCTTCTAGACTGGCATTCAGTTTTGCAAAGTGTAAAACAAACTACCTCATGTCCATTACACTGAGTCTCTTATTATGCAGTAAGGCTCTATGTTTTTTACACTGCACAGCTGAGTATGGCCTTGAACTCACAAATCCTGTCTCCAGTGCCCAAGTGTTAAGATTATAAGTATATGCCACCACATCTGCTGTCATATGCAACTATTCATCAACTAAAAATAAAATCTGCCACGTCAGGTGTGTTGAGCAAACTCATGAAGCAGAAGCAGTAGGATCTCTGTAAGTCTGTGTTCAGCCTGGTCTACTAGTGAGTTCCAGATCAGCCAGGGCTATGGAGTATGACACTGTTTCAAAATGAAAAGAAAATGAAATCTGGGGCTGGTGAATAGTTAATAGTGTTGGTATAGTGCTTGTCACATTAGCATGACAACCTGAGTCCAATTCCAGACCCTAGTAAAAAGCCATGTACTTATAATTCCAGAGCTACGGAGGCTGGCTCAGTCTAGTGTAACATTAAGCCCTAGGTCCTAGGGATGAGAAACCCATCTCAAAACACAGGGTGGAAGACTCCTGGGGAACAACAGTGAGAACTGCTCTCTGGCCACCACACAAATGCATAAATATGCACTATACGCAACATGTGCACACATGCCGCACACACGCGCGTGCGTGCGCAAAAATGCACACACACACACACTAAAATAAAACACTAAAAATGTCCTCTCCTGGAGGCCTCGACAATCTATAGTACCTCAGATAGCAGATCAGTATTTATCCCTGGTGTACAAATGGACTTTGGGAGCCCATTCCACACGGAGGGATGCTCTCTCAGCCTGGACACATGAGGAAGGGCCTAGGCCCTTCCTGTGATGATATGACACACTTTGAAAATTCCCCCATGGAAGACCTTACCCTCCCTGGGGAGCAGAGGGGAGATGGATTGGGGGGTTGGGGATACAGGGGACAAGGGAGGAGGGCAGGGAGAGGAGGCTGGAAATAACATGTGTAAAAAAAAGAAGAAAAAAAAAAACAAAGTCCTCTCCTATGAAGATCTGCTGGATGAACTTAACTAGAGAAAGAGGAAAAACTAATTCATTGAATCAGGCAAGGAGTACCAATAGGTCACCAGGACAAGAACTAAGGATTTTACTGACAGTTAGATGGTAACCAAATCTGTCTCTCATCCAGGCTCCAATTTGTATAGTGCGTTAGGAGACTAGATGATGTCAACAGCCTTCCCAGTAGACTAGTTATCTCAGTACTCTGCCCCTGGCAGGAGAACCTGTGTTCTGGAGTATTTTTAGTGCTTTTCTACTTTGGAAATCCAGTCATCTGAAGAAGAGCCAGCAGCTGGACTATCCTGTGACCTCACTCCCCAGATTTATTCCTTAACAACCAGCAAGTTATTTAGTCACCTGGGAAGAGTCTAGAAGGGGGTTGGGGTTCCCCCATTTGCAAACTCTCAGAGGTCACAGGGGCTTGTTGTGCCAACCCAGGTGGAAGTGTGGGCTTCACTGTTGGTAGGAATCTCGTATTCAAGGGAGAAAGACAAAGAAAAGGGTTCCTCCAAATCAGGTAGGTACTGCCTATCATTTCACCAGCAGAGTGGAGGATGGGGTGAAGAGTCAGAACTTATTCTGTCTTTTCTGAAGTACTGGGCTTTAACAAGATCAGGATCCCATCCTGCTAATGGTAAGCCTTCTGTCATTTTCTAGGACTTCATGGTGGATAATGTCTTTCCACCAAGATACAGAAAGTAAAATAGCAAAAGATGAACCAACCTTTTCCCTATCTTTGCATTTGGATTTAACCTCAGATACTTAATTTTATGCCAACTTCATCCAGCTTGTAAGGACAGATTTATCCAACACCAGCTGTCCGCACATGTAAAGGCTGTAGCACAAAGATAAAATTAGAATCAAGTGAGGATCATATTCCTCAAAAAGAATTCTGCTCTGTCCCGCTGATGCCCTGAGATACAACTGTCAAACCAAATTCCAGCATTACTGTTGTTTTCTTTTTCTAGGACTTCCTAAATAGATATAGTTTAGAAACTGATTATATCACCAAAACGTGCATGGGTCCTCAACACATACACACAGAATTATAGCCATGGGTACAAACTTATTTCCAAGGTTATTCTCACCTAGGTAGGGGCAAAGTAAAATCTTAACAGAATTGGAAGAGAATAAAGTCGACTACACAATACTATCCTTTTTGGGGGTGTTAAAAATTTCCAAAATTGCATGAAAGCAAAATAGATTGGAGTATGAATAAAATGCAACTGTCCACTAATTTCAAACAGGAAACATCAAATCTCATTGTCTTGGTGTTATATAACAAGTATGACACCATATTATCTTTTTATGGGAAGAAAAGGGGGATTTAGTCTCAAATTTGACTTGTTAAATAATGTATCTACAAAATCATAGCTATAAAGATACATTGTTAATGTTCTATGTTGAGTGTGGTAAAAGAATGGAAAGCATCTGTGATAATAAATACAGGAAAGATAAACAGCCTCCTCTATGAGGAAAAAGAATGTACCCTAACCAAACAATCAGAAAATATGCTGTGTACATGATAAAAAAAAAACAAACTTGTAGTTAAGTAGGTGCTGAGAATGTAGCAATTGAAGAAGTGCGATTTGGCCATAATTATTGAAATAGAAAATATGTTCACTTTCCTGTTATATCCACTACTATAGATAACACTTAATAAATTGTTCAAAGCCATAGCAAGGCTTTCCACTTAGGTCTGTTTCTAAAAGCCCACATATATTTCAATAGATAACAGATAAAGTCAACTACTATAAATCATGTGGACATCCTGTGCAACTTAGACTGACTCAGACTTTCCTGTGTCGTTTTCAAATGATCATGTATGAAATGCCCCATAAAATGAAAGAGCCAAAGTATAGATACATAGAGATATACAGAAAAAGTAGAAAAAGTAATTTTATATATACAACTTGTGCAGAAATATTTTCTAGAAATATATACAAAAAATTGGGAATTAAAAAGGGTAAAATTTACTTTTACTTTATACCTTCTAGACTCTGAATGTCTAGGGTTTTTGCCCTTAAGTTCTGACTACTTTTACTTTTAAAAGTTGTTTCAACACAAATTGCAGAGTGCTTTTAGCATTGATTGTATTTTGTTAGAGTCTAATTTTCCAAAATGTCTCCAATAATTTATTTCCAATGTTATGATACAGAATACAGTGTGGGGATGACTTTTATGTGTCTTACAAAATTTCCTTCATAAACTAAACACTCTCTCATCCTTGCAGCCAGGTTAATAATATGCTTTGAGACCATTTACAACTATGTTCTCAATCTGTTTTCTCCCGTGTACTCAGCTTGCTTAAATTTAACATGCCTTTAAGAAAGTCATGTAACCATGCTTTGGACTTTCCATGTAATCAGCTTTTAGAAGCTAGCTTGAATTTACAGCTTTAATCTTAAACTATGTCCCCTCTTTCTCCTTAATGGTCCTCCCAAACCCTGACCCAGAATAATGAGAGGTGGGGGAGTGGGAATTAGGTCTAATATCATTCTGTGAAGGCAGCAGGTTGAAAACAGCCTTGGAAAAAAGAAATAACCATAACAAATACTAGAAACAAGATGTGGAAAAAGGCTGATAACATCTGCTCATGGTTTTGAGTGCTATTCTGAGTCAGTAGGGGGTTAGAAAAGTAACTGCCTCCCTTGTAAAACCCTGATAAAGATTCATTATAATGACAATTTATTTTTATTTTGTTTGTGTTGATGTTTTGCCTGTGTCAGGGTGTCAGACCTTGGAGTTACAGACAGTTGTTAGCTGCCATGTGGGTGTCTGGAATTGAATCTGGGTCTTCTGGAAGAGCTATCACTCAAGCCCCCCTGATAAGAGATTCTTGAAGACAAGAATTTCTGAGTTCCTTTCTCATACAACTATGTTGTACTGTTTGATCGTGAGGATGGCCTTCTGTCCATGAGAACAAGCAAGAGATGGGCAGACCAGATCAGCTTGCTATTGCTTTAGATGACTCCAAGAATTAGGTTTTTACCTCCTGTTTTGAGAAATGGTTAAGACCTCAGGACCCACCTCAGTTGTATTTAAAATCTTTTAACAAGATTCTCATGTTCATATAGATGTTACTATAGATGTTCATACACACGTTAGCAATGCTTTTATTTACTTCCCCATCCCAGACTCTCCAGTTCTGCGTGGGTATTCTTTGCCACAAGTCTTCTGTCCCAATATCCTGGCATCCCAAACTGTCCCTTGACCTGCAAGTGACCTACAAACATGTTATTGTCCCATTTCTCTTGCCTGCTATGAACCTCAGCCCCTCAGTCTCTCACAGCACTCGACACTGCAAAGGCAGCACTGTGCTAAAATGAAGTTGCTAACAGGAGAGTCCGGGAGGCTGCAATACCTCCTCTCCTCTCACCCAGTTCTGCCTCTCTTGGCACTAGGTTTCAGTGCTTTCCTGAGACCACAGTCAGCTGCCCTCATATTCTGTAGCATCAGGGCTGGACCCAGGCAATGATTCACTCTCTGTCTTGCACAAACATCTGTATTTCCTTGTCACACACTCAGTGCTACCTTTACCAGACATTGTATATGGTTCTTCAATGTTATGACCACAGTGGTTTCACATCCCAAACCTGGGATCAACAGTCTCCCCATACATCTCCACCATATTTGACAGATTTTTACACACTGCCACTTGGGTTCATCTCAATACCACATTGATTCCATAACACATCTATGCAACAAACAGCACACTCGGAGGTGTTTATGATCTAGTCTTAGGTATGTAAAGACTACTGGTAGGCATAG